GTTAAATTCACTCTGTGCTGCCTGTTTGTGAGCAGATGTCACTTGTTTAGGCTTCTAGCGATTTATCGGTGCACTGCTGCAGGGAAGGGGTGGTATAAGAGTTAACTTCCAAAGGCCTGATGCTGGATAAGAGATGATCCACTATTGGTGTTTGTGCATTTAAAATGCACTCATACTTCCTGGAGCTTTCACATTTTGTCACTTTGCACTGTGAGTTAATGCTTTGCAGAACACTGCCAGTACTTGACATTCCCAGCATTAAGGGAATGTCAAGTACACAGCTTACGCAGAGTAAGCTGTGTTGCTTACTCTTTGCAACACAGCTAATAGTGAGTTAGATTAAATAAAGTCTGAATGTCAGATCATTTTCATAGCCTTGTCACAAATACGGTTGGATTTATGATTGGACTTTGTCACTCCTCAGTGTGCTTTGATCTGACTGTGTGTTTATGGCTGTTTTATTGCTTTAACTATTTTAAAGTCAGGTTTTCTTCCAGAATCGTCTCGTGTTCTGCCTGATTCATCTTCGAATCAACTGAGCAAGTGATGTGCATGTAGCCCCTAAAAGTGCTAGTTTGGTCTCATGCCACCACTACTTCTTCCACACTGTGCCGGGTTTGTTTGAAACCACAAACAAGACTTCCTTTAGCTTTCCTTGTCATAAAGGCAAGCTCATCATTTATCCGTAAAGGTCAGATTTGTAGAGCGCTCGTTAACAGATTCTCCTACCTGAACTGTGGATCTCTGATCTGGGCCTTTTTCATTGATGGAGATGGGAAATGGTGTATAGCTCAGGCCTGGCCTTGACTCACCACTTTACCCAGATAAGTGACTGTTGCCTTAATGAACTCACACTTTGCCAGATTCACAGTAAGCAGCGCCTGTTCCACACGTCCTCTAGAACTGCTAGAGGGCCCAGAACAAAATGACCAAAACCAAGTTAATAAGACTGATCTAGAGGTAACGTTTCGTATCAGGCAAGCACCTGGATGACAAGTGCTTAAACATGTCACAGTTAGTAAGTACGCATTTCCTGCCTTTGACCTCGGTAGTAGACCCACAAAGTAAATGAGAAAACACTTAAATAGTTGGCATATCGGTGGAAACGGGCACAAAGGTACCAGTTTAACTGCTTGGTTGGGTTTTTCAATAAACTGACAAATGTGACATGTTTTAATGTGCAGTGAAATGCTTTTCTTCATCTTAGGCCAAAAAAATAGATTTGCCTTCCAGTTCTGAATACTTTGGTACTCATAACGTTAACCGTTTCTAATGTCTTGATTTTGAGAAGTAATCTCAAAGAATCCTGAAAGTAAATTTGATCACATTTTATTTCCTAGACACACAGTGAGCAGCTTCTATAGCCTTTTCTCCCCCAAAGGCTTTTTCAGGATGGATTTGACTTTGGAAGGAAACCTTTCATCCAGTTCTGGCAGTGCGCAGCAGCTGGCACCGTGTAGTGATTTTAGTCCAGAACAATGGGGTTCAGACTGAACCCTCTCATGTGACAAAGCTGGCTCTCAACCTCTTTACCGTCCTCCAGCAGTACCACGAAGACGGAGCTCGCATTGAGGCAGCCTTCCGCCGCTACATCCACCGGGCTGACCCCAAGCAGAAAGAGGACAGCTATGAGATCATCGTGTGTCATGCCAATGTCATCCGTTATTTTGTCTGCAGGTTTGTGGCGGCGGCAGCTCAACTCAAACCACAGTTTGGTTTTGCAGCTTTTTGCTTGGCTAACCACTGTCCAACACACTACACTGCTGTTTTGTGTTTTTTTTCCCCCAAAATAAATTTTTTTCATCAGTTGCATACATTTTCATGTTTTTCCAAATGTTTAATCATTACTCAGAGAAAACAAGGAGGGAGATTTTGTAACATAAAACCATGGGGGACGTCATAACCTACCCAACTGCGTGTTGTGAAAAACGGGCTGAGATGTGGCAGCAGCTGGGAACCAACTTTTAGAAAGCTATTTTTAACGATGGTTATACTACATCATTTACTGTAACGATACATTAGCTATTATACATTATTTAGTATGATTATGCTATATTAGATACTGTAATTACACTATGTTTACTACAACTATTCTATATTAATTATACTATAATTATACTACAGTATTAACACATTTTAATGGTAGTGTCAACATGCTAGTGATAGCCCTCACACTACAGGTAGCATTTAAGCTAACATTAGTATTTTTATTTTATATAACTTCTAGACTTTACTACATGGAGTACGTCACTGTTAGTCAACATGCTGGTGAGAACCCCCATGCTACTGGTAGAGCCAACATGCTACTCGCTCTACATGGTAGTGGTAGCCCTCATGCTAATGTTAGCCCTACAGCCTAAATAAGCATTTTAGCTAATTTTTGCTATATTAGCTATGTTTAGCATACTGAATGGAGTAAGTCCATGTTGGTCAACATGCTATTGATACCTCATGATATTTGCTACCTTTTAGCTAACCTTAGCGTTGCTAATTTTCACCATCAGAACCCCTGGTTTCATGCGCACACTTTTGGCAGACCACATTTAAATTTTTTCAGACATTTTTTAGTTATTAGATGCCAAACAAAATATTTTTTTAGAAACAAAATGTATTGTAGATTACAAACCATGTTTCAGAGGATCTGCTAAGTGTGGGATAATCAGTCCAGATTTATAAAGTTAAAGTGTCAGATTTATAAATGTAGCTGATCTGAATTGATTGGTGTCTCAAAAGGCAGTGGAGTTAAGAACACACATGACCATGTTATAAACCGTCTTGATTTGTTGAACTTACAGATCAGAACTTTACTAAATGTTTTGTACTCAAATGCCCAGAAAGCTTCTGGAAAAATCTAGAACATTTGAAGGAAAAATGTGCAGGGACTAGATTTCTATCTTGAGTGAATATCCAATTAAAAAAATAAATAAATCGTCTGGAAAAACTTTCAGTACAGGCAACTTTATCACACTGGTAGAGATCTAGTTCATATTTCGCTTAGTTTGCTGAAAAATCTTTAAGTCAGAATCAGTTAAATGTTTCTAACAAGCAGATGAAACTCAAAGCAGTGTAAATTTCCCGGTGTAATCACTTATCTTTCTCCCCACTCAGGGCTCTGCAGTTCCCCCCTGAGGGCTGGCTGCGCATGGGCCTGAACAACGGCAGCATCACCTGGCTCACCATCCGCCCGAGCGGCAGGGTGGCCCTCAGGACCCTGGGAGACGCGGGATTCATGCCTCCAGACAAACTGACACGGACCTAAAATCTCAGCACAAAGCAGCTTTAAGGGAAAAAAAAAAAAAAGATGAAAATGTTTCAGGGTTAAATCTCAGTTTTTATTATTTTTCCTCAAGTGTCTTGAAAATAAACTTTTGAAGAATTCATTTTATAATCAACCTAGCATCATGATTCGAGACTGTGCTGCTGCGATTACTTCAACGCCATCGCCAAGAGAAGTGAGAAACGGCTGCATAGCAACTCCTGCTGAATGTAATTAACTTTTACAGAAGGAACAAATTTTTACACCAAAAAAGCTCTATTTATCTAGCGGTCAATGCATTTCGAGTCATCAGCTTAACATATTGCATTTAATTAAGTTTGAAAGTATATTTGTTGTATTGTGGTAAATAAAGAGTTTAAAACGTCTCTGGGTTCTTGCTGCGTTTTATTTTCCCGGGCCAAAACAAACATTCGCCAGAAAAAAAAAAAAAAAAGCATTGAACACACAACAGCAGGGAAGGTGTGAGTGAAGGTTTATTGGTTAGATAAAAGCAAATTAAGTCTATACATAAAGAAAAAAAAGTCATGAAAGTTTCTTTTAATAAAAATACAGAATGCTAAAAGCACAAGAAGCATGTTCAAATCTTTTTTTTTTTAGGTGCACTTTTGCAAAGTTCCACATTCATAACATTCAGAGACCAGAACTCGATCTCGTCACCTAAGAGCACGAGAATGATGATACAATCTTCTTGGTGAAGTGGATTGTGCTCTTAGACAAAAGGTTAGAAAAATACATTCAGAACATTTGTTGCTCTCAACTCGAGTGAGGATGGTATCAATTTGGAAATAATTTTTGTTTTTCCAACCTTCATCTAAATATAACTGACTCAGTTCTGAAAAACCTCAACATGTAACATGAATACGCGGTAAGCCACTTGTAGTCAGAACGAGACTCCTGGCACACAACTTGGTTGACTAAAGTTGTTTGGGTTCCCCCCCCCCCCCAAGGAGTCAAATTATTATTATTATGTTTTGCATCATTAGAAGGGATATAAATACTGGATGCAACTCATCTAGTCACATAAGGCAGCTTCTGCTTAGTTGACATGTTATCTCAAATGGGATCCTCAAGATATTAAACAGGTGTGGATGGTGGTGTTGGGTCACACCGCCCTCTAGTGCTCAAAACAAAAAACAACAAAAACCCCCATCCTGTTAAATCAGCTTTAAATCTGATCTCCGGCTAGGAAAAACCAAATTAAACCTGACTTATGGTTGGTTAGTGCCATTATGCACTGAAGGACATGCTTCCGACATGGAAAAAAAACCCCAAACAAACAGGAAATGGCACTGTTTAAGGCTGCCTTTAATGGGATGCAGAATGTCAAAACATATTAGAACCATCTGCTAGACATGAAAAAAATGCTAATTTTTACTACAGATCAACATAAAAATATGGAAGATCTCCGTTTTTTTTCTCTCCTTTCGTCTCCTCATACATTTCATGTACGAGCTAAAGTGAGTCTAAACCGACAGAACGGATCCATCACTTCAGAAAATTAAGGCGATTCCTGAACTGAGGAACAACACAGGAAATGGCAGTTTTAAACACCATTAATAAAAACATTTATTATTTTTTGTGCTACTGACCAACGTACAAAAAAATATTTAAAATATTGACAATTTTTTACTCGTTTCAGTATTTTCCACAACATTGTTCGGTGACAGAATCCTGACGGCTGGTTTGGTTTTTTTAGTGACCGGCTGAACTTTTTTTTTTTTGAAAGGGGGGAGAAGTGTGGCATGTGTTCACAATATTCCCCAAAAAAAATTATATTGAAAGAAAAAGTGGACTCCGGCTATGATCAGAGGTGTTTTCACAGTTGCCACGAACACGTTTTCATGAATTTCGACATAGTTCCACATCCATACAGTACGTCAACAAACATTTCAGATGCTCCATTTTTTCTTTTTTTTTTTTTTTACAGTCTAATGTTGATGAGAATTCCTGTTTTACATTAGTAGTACCATATATCGATTGATACAAATCTTCCAGACACTTGTGCATATTTCAGTCAGGTTTGGTGGTTTCTGAGCTCTGGGTGTTGTGACCTGGGTGTAGCTGGGGTGGAGGGCGGGTGTCCGTGTGTGTCCGTGTGTGTCCGTGTGTGTGTGTGTGTGTGTGTGTTGTGTAGTGGTAGAAGTGAGGAAGAGAGAGGGGGGCAGTTTAGAATAGTGGCTCACTCAGGTGCTTGAAGCGGAGGCGTTGGATGTAGCTGACATTGGCAGGGCTGTACCGGCTGGGGCTAAAGTCTGGCGAGGCAGCGTGGCGGATTGGACTGAAGCGACCGGTGGGAGACATCAGGCCGCTGCCGGGAGAACCGGGGGTCTGCTGCTGCTGCTGCATCCTGAGTCGGGGTTTCACGACAGGGCTTGGCCAGCTAAGCAACACACACAACATGAGTTAGGCTGTCCTGTATCGCCTGTTCAAAAGTACCGTATTTTCCGCACTATAAGGCACACCTAAAAACATTCAATTTCCTCAAAAGCCAACAGTGCGCCTTATAATCCGGTGCACCTTATAAATGGACCAATATTGAGCCACAACAGGTCTAGCAACTACGGTAAGCAGCCGCCAACCTCATTTTCGCCTGTAGAAGAAGAAGCGCACGGTGCATGCTGGGATAGTTGTCAGAACGCTGGTTTGTAATCTATCAATAAAATTTGACTGACCTATCTACCTACTGACCTGATAATCAGGTCGTCTGCAGGTCATTTACCACCACGTTCTCCACGAACATGCTGTGCGTGAACGGAGAAGGGTGACAATCGTCCGGCCACGCCCCGGAAGGCTCTCCTCGCTGACCGGAGTCAGACTGTTTTGTTGACATTCCCTCCATCTAGTGGATGCATAACGTAACTCCAGCCTCTACTGTAGCGTCTATTCTGTGCGCCTTATAGTGCGGAAAAAAAGGTAAGTAATGTGGCATGCATCTAAAACAGTCTCCTACAGTTTCAAAAATCACAAAGTACTGTTCAGTTCAACGCCTGAACATTAAACGGGTTTCGGCCAAGCTCCTGTTGGTAGAAAAACGATTAATTGTGCACTTTATAAATCTGGCTTTATGTATATAAAAAAACAAAGCAAGAAGAGAGCCACAGCTTAAAAAAAAATAATAAAAATTTCCTGAACGCTATCCTTATTAATCGGTTCCATCCTTCAACAAGAACTGGTATTTTAGTAATTAATCGTTCTATTGATTATTTTGACGATTAATCGACGAACCAGACAAAAAAAAAAGAGAGAATATGCTCCAGATTTCCAATTATCAATTTAAGCCTCTTTTGTATAATATTAAAAATACATAAAATCATGCAAATAAAAAAAATTCAACTGAGAAATTTTATTGCCTACAAAGCAATAGTAGTGTCCCTTTGGTGAACACTTGATCATTTATAGCGTACTCTACATCTGAAGATAAAAAAAAATAAAAAAAATCTATCAATACGTGAATTAATTTATCAATACAGTGTGGAGCCGATCTGTTGATTATGTTTTTGCTTAAAATCATAAATGCACAGCAAAATATGCTTAATAGAAAATTTGCATTTATTTATTCATTTGTTTACAGAATTTAAACCAGGTGAATCTAAAAATGCCACTAAACATTCTGGGTAGAACATATTTATAAACAAAAGTTTATCTAAAATGCTAGATGTTTATATATATTTTAGTTTTAGCTTAATTACTACTCAGAGTATGTTGTTCTTTCAGCAAATGGCCTTTTTTTTTAAGTCTGTATACTCCAGTTAACGATTAATCAATTACTAAATTAGTCAATTATTTCACCAATCGATTAATCACGATTAATCCTTTCAGTGCATCATTTTTTTCCTTCTACTTCACAACATCCTGGTCTATAAAATGAAATCCCAATAAAACATGTTGAACTTTATGCTTGCTGAGCAACAACATGTGAAAAAAATTCATGGGGAGTGAATAGTTTCACAAGACACTGAAGACGACATAGTCCTGCAGATATTCAGTCAGTGGCTTTGGGTGTTGGAACGAGTCCAACTGGTGTGAATGGAAATATTCACAGATTAAGATTGTGAAAACATGACACTTCATTAGAGGTTAGGATAATATTATATACTATAATCTGAAGTCATCAGATACTGAAAGCTTAAAAAAAAAAAAAAAAAAAAAAAAAAAACTGCTGATCCCCTAACCTCTGCATGTCGGATGGAGAGTATGACTTCATTGTGCTCTTCCATTTATGCACACTGGGATACTTCTGTGGATCGATATCAGTGTCCCGCAACGCTGACATGACCTCGCTGTCCAGCTTGGTGGGCGAGTCCCTGTTAAAGCACGCAGGATTCATCAGCTGCATTATTATCAAAACACTCAGTCCTCACCTGTCATGACCCACTGTGGAAGGAAAGCTGGAGCAGAAGCTGGAATTTCATAGAACCAAATAAAAAAAACAACCCAAAAGTAAATAAATAAAACTACTAATAAAATTAATTATGAAGTCTCTGTTAAATATTAATCATCATAATGGAAGCGATCGCGCTCATTTTAATTTATCATGCAATTCATTGATTTACTGGGACTGACATATTTGTGGATCATTTTCAACTTGATGGTTTCGGCCAACGTGGTGAAAAGTTTGGACAACCCTGCTTTAGAGTTTTACTCGAACAACAACAACCTACAGTTTGAAATGACTAACTTCCTCCTGACGTCGCTAAAGATGCAAAAACAGCAAAAGAAAGCGACGCGACTCACCCCTCGATAAAAAGTCCTCTCCTAAAGTGCGGCGGGGTCCTGGGTAGGAACTCATGGGAGTTATCTAGAGACTTATACGAGGACCCCGAGGAGCTGGAGCTGCTCAGGTCCCGGCCTCCGTGGTCCCACGACTTGGATCTCGCGCAGAAGTTGCGCACCCCAGACGCTGACCCTCTAGTCCTCCCCAGCGACTCCAGACTCTCCTCGGCGGTTAAGTATTCGTCTGAGCTCCCGCTGCTGCTGCTCTCCGCCCGGTCCCTGCCATCCTGCCGGAGCGACAGGCGGTTCAGGCCTGAGCTGAGGTCCGTGGCCGAGAAGGAGCTGCATGAGTTGCGGCCGTCCTTGTGCCGGTTCCTGCTGCCGCTCCGCCGCTCGCGGTAGCCGGTGGGGCTGTCCGCGGGCTCGTGGAGCGACATGCGCTCGAACTCCGCCATCAGGTTGGAGATGGGCGACAGCATGCAGGAGGAGGACGGAGAGCCACGCGGGGATGCCTTTTCTCCATTGTGAGTTCTATCCCTGGACGAGGAAGAGGAGGAGCACGCTCCAGTTTTGCAGACGACGCCGGGCGACAGGAGGCCGTCGTCGCAGCAGCACAGCAGGTCCCGCTCGGCGGCGTTCTCGATCAGGTCGGCGCCGCGGTGGCGCAGCGCGATGTGGAACTCCCGGCCGCCCACGGAGCCCTTCAAGGTGTCTTTGGACGCGGCGGAGGAGGTGATGCTGGAAAGCGCCGCGTTTTGACGGTTCTTTATCTCCTCCAGGCTGATGTCGTCGCCCTCGTCCAGGAAGGCACCGACTGAAATGGAGTTGCAGAATTTTTTGGGCTTGCCTAGGACCACAACGAATAATCGAGATGGATTTATTTAGAAAGCAGCCAATTACAAAAGAAACATGCAAATCCATGGTTTCCTGTGGCGATTTCTAGGAATGGGCCGTATGGACTTAAAAGTTTTATCACGATATTTTCTGGCGCTGTTGTGATAACAATAAAAGGTACTGCAAGAACTATTTACTACTTCTTTTTTAGGTAAATGTATGGCTGACAGGCAAAAACAAATACTGTTATTGAAAAACATTTCCATTTGTAAAATGCTTCTTTAGGACAACAGCAACAAAAAATGTGATTTCAATCACTAAACTGCACATTTAATCACACTTTAAAATACATTGATATTCATTGAACAAACGGTGGAGAAGTTCTTCAAACACCATTAATTAAAATTTACTGTGACAACGATAAATCACAATTCTTAAAATATTATAGAGGTGGGCATTTATCATATTATTTGATGCTTATTGTGATGACTTTATCGTGATAACATCATTACAATAAGTAGTTTTAAAACAACACGATTATTCGTGTAAATACAAGAGGTGCACCGATCACCGATCTCTAAAAAGCCTGATCTGCTGATTCAGGTTTTGGCCAGTACAGATTTTTATTTGTCTGAAAAGTTGCAAAATATGGGACAAAAATCACTTAAATTGACAACAGTGGGGCGACCAGCACCACTCACACACACGTGAAGACGTGACTTGGTGGGCTGATTTTCAGATCTTTGCCGAGGTACATATTACTGGTGGATGAGTTCGGTTTGTGTAAATATCGGTCTGCCGCGATCTCCCAAAATGAAGGAAATCGATGCCGATTCATCGGTGCACCTCTAGTTCATTTATTTTCTGTTCCACTAACTAAGGCTTTGCAGCTTCTCAGAATAAACGGATGGCACCTGGTGAGGGAGTTTTGAACCTGTTGCTGGTCTCGTTTGGCCCCGCCCCTTCATGAGCCCTGTGATTAAAATCCTTCTTGCTCAGATACTCCTCCAGCTTACGGAGCCCCTCGGTGGAGGACAGATCCACAAAACAGTCCAGGAAGCCCCAATACTCAGCCCAGGGGTGCCCCAGCTCATGAGCCAGGTCTCTGAATTCGAAGAAGTTGCCGATTAGTTACTCAGTGGTCAGACAGCAGAAACCTTCTACTCACTATTGTCAGGACTGCGAGGCTTAGGACGTACCTGCCCACTCTCTCAGCCCCTCTGTCCGGGTCGGACTTAAGAATGTGGTGGAAGAACTCAGCCCGTTCTCTCGGTGGCGTCTTCCAGGACCGACGAAAATCATCCGCCTGCATGATATGACAATACGTTGCCGTCAACAACTGGTGACAGTGGTTTATTTTGGGAATAGAGCATCCGAGCTACAGAGTAGTGGACTTGCTTTAGAGGGGCTAAGTGGGCCGGCGAAGGCTGTGACTGTCATCCAAGGATCCGTGGGGCTCCTTGTGTGTCGCTGGATCAGAGAGAGGCTCTCCGAGGACTCTGGCGACCAGGAAGCACCGATGATGGGCTGAGAGGTGTTGTCGGTCGCCCTCAGTAAGGGAATATAGCAGCGGTCTGCGAGGCAACGCAACAGAAACTTTACACAGGTTTTTGTGGCCATGCGTCTAAGTTGGATAACATTTTCACTCCAGACAAACAGCTCAAGCTCTGACCGAGTGCCGCCACGTTATGGATGACCACAAGAACGTGAGTTGGTGTATTTAGCTGGTGGCCATTTAGGAAATGCAATGTCCAAGTTCTGAAATCATGACACTACCGGTCTAAAGCAGCATCTGTCATTTTGAAAACCCAGAATAATTAAAAAAAAAAAAAAAAACTCCAGAGGATTCTTATTTTAAAGGGGCGGTATTATGCATTTTCCAGGCACATCAAGTAAAAATATTTATAGGAAAACAGATCAATAATTTCTCTATAAAAATGTCAAAAGTCATAGTCATCCAAGAAATGTAAAATATGATGAAATGTTTAAGGTTTTGGGAAGATTTTACCAATAAAACCTTGAGTGAAAATAATTGCAGAATGTCTAATTTACACTTTCACAAGAGAGACTATAGCTAGGTTTTTTTGTAAATATTGAGAGCATGATTGATTATTAATTATTAATATCAAGATCAGAGTTAGCATCACATTATGTCTTCTAGAAAGAGCGTCTGGGTTACCCATCTTTGCTGTTTAACTGGATTTGATTTATCTGAAATTGGTCTCCAGCATCACATGTTGGTTGCTGTTAGCATAAATAACAGCACTATCTGTGTTTATTACCCGTACCTTAACTATGAGATAACCAAGACTGGAAACATTCCCTAATAAACAGTGACCTGTGTGGGTCTCCTCACTGATACCAAAACTAGCAAACTTTTAGCCTTCCATCAGTTCCATCATCCACACCGAACAGCGAGCGTTAGCTCAACCTTTTGGGGCTCATGTGCAGATTGCGTCTTCAGCTTCCGACCAGCCAATCATCAATCAGCTGATCCCCATGAGCTTTGAACAAATATTTTTAGTCCTTAACATAACTTAAAAAGTACAAATCAAATTCAAAACTCCCTGATGTAACATTGCTCATTAGCTCGCTCCTTATAGGTACATGCGACTCCATGTAAGGCAGAAGGAAGAACAAACAGAGGTCATCCTTACCCTCCAAGTAGTCACTTATTCTCTGTTTCACCTCTGCGGTTTTATTTTTCCTGCTACAAATAAGCTGTGGAAGGAAAGGAAAACAAATGAGCGACACCAAGTCTGCACAAGCCACTGTTGTCAGAACAATTTGCCCATCTATAATTAGCCTATTATTTAGTCAGTGACTGCCAACATATTTTAAAAAGGTCACACCCTCTGCAGCTACTCACACACTTATAAAAATAAGAATGTTTTTTTCTCTAGCTAGCTGACTGACAGCTCCAAATGTGTGCTTTCACATGTTAATGAAGCCTTTCTCTGTGACAACTCGGTAAATATTGACTAGGAGTTTGTCAATATGAGGAAGTGTTTAGAACTCCTTACGTCAGAGGGCTTCTGGCCGTCCCGGTTCTTGCAGTTCTTATCGATGTCGGGGTGCGAGCAGAGGACGTTGACCACATCCGGACATCCGAACTTACAGGCAAAGTGGAGCGGCGTTTCAAAGCTCTGAAGCAAAAACAAAAACTCTCCTTATGCATCTCGAAACGATGTACAAGCCAGCGGGGGTCGAGGTTATGGAGCTAAAACTGACAGCCTTATCTGGAGTGTTGAGGTAAAGATCTACAATGTAGCGGATTCGTTTCTGCAGCATGACCTCCTGGTCGTCTGGGTACATGAGGTGCATGAACTCGGGGTTTTCCAGGGTGTCCAGTAGCAGCTGAGCGATCCCCGCCTGGTTTTCCTTGGCCGCCACGTGCATCACGTTGTACCGGCAGCCCTCCTGAAGGTAGAAAAAATATAACATGTAGAAATATCACTCAGAAATCAACTTGGCCAGCTGAAGTTACAAATTTTGTCACCGTCCGCTTATTTTTAAAGAACGAAGGCTCAAAACTGGCACTATTGTTAATATTATGCTAAAATACCTCATGCTGAGACACTATGTGGTGAATTTATGAAATCAAGAAACAAAGGCAACAATTCATCAGATTAATCAATTATTGAGATAGTTGTTAAGTTATATATTACGGTAGTTTTGGGTATACGGACTTTAAAAAGCCATTTGCGGAAAAAAAAATGTAGAAAAAACAAAACAAAACATGCACAGTAGTAATTAAGCCAAAACTATACAAAAATATACCCTATGCATTTTGCATTCAAGATAAAAACACCTTTGTCTATAAATATGTTTTAGGCAAAATGCCTCAATTGAGTTTATTTTTAAGAGATGAGACCGATATTAATATCTTAATCAATATTGAAACAATATCTAGATTGGGCACATTGTGACCTTTGCCCAGTCTATTGAGTCCAATTTTATGATTTGTGCTTTGAGCAATGTCATGATTCATTATTTATGTTGCATTATACTTAGAATTATTAATTGCACCATTTGAAAGATGTTGGGTTACAGTAAATTTTTACATGTTTGACCAATGTAACCCATTGTTTTTGTCAGTTTCTTTATCATTTGTTTTGCATTGGCTGTTTTATTCCTAATTGTGCTGACTGAACAAACTGAAGTTGTGTTGTTTTTATATGTCAAACACCAACAGTTTGTGACACTGTTAGTGTATTTAAGTGCTCTACACTGGTGCACAGTAATCAAATATATTTTTCATTCAGTACATTTATATTTGTGCTTTTTTTTTTTTTTTTTTTTTTTTTTAAAAAAAAACTTTAAAAATAATTCAACCGGTTTTTTTTTTTGTGGGTTCTTTA